AGTCTGGGTTTCCCTGCTGAGACTGCTGCCCCCGCGACCCGACCTCGGATAAGCGGAAGTAAATGGATGGATGGATGGATTTCTCAAGTGGTCAAACAGAAAAGCATTTGGCCTAATACTGCTTCAGAGCGTTAGCCTTTAATTTAGTCGTTCTTGTTGCTTTTGTGCAGTAGATAAATAATAGAGTACTTGTTTTTAATAAATTAATTTTAAGATAATTCCATTTTGCGGGAGTCCCGCGATTAATTATATTCTCCCGCAACCCGCACATACATGAGGACCTTACCGCCCGCACCCGCATTCACCCATCAAATCTTGTCCCGCGCCGCACTCGCGGGTCCCGCGGTACTCCCGCGGGAGTGCAGGTCTCTATTGTGATCATCGTCAGCGTGCCACCCGAAATTCCTCCGCGTGCCAGTTGTGGCACACGTGCCTAGGGTTGCCGACCCCTGGTCTATACCTTTGGCAGGGCCTTCATTCCTGCTGCGGTCAAGACAAACAACTCTCCCCTAGGCTGAACCACCAAGACAGCCAGTCACATACCTGCAGACTGTAACTTTTTCACATGCCATTGTCTTTATGGATATATATATATATTTTTTCAAGATGGTGGTTCATAGTACGCAGTGGCTTTTACGGCTACCGGAACTCTGGAATGTTTACCTTGTTTTCTTTGTTCTGTTATTTTTAAGTTTATTTGCAAGCTCAGTCAATAGAAAGTTCTTCTACAGGCGACAGGAACTTTTAAATCTCAGATTATGTCAAATGATAAATTTTCAGAGAATTTTGGAATAAACTTCACGGACACAACAGAACTGGCAGGAATTGAGTTTTAGACCCATTAGCATACAGTACTGTTAAACACTGGGGTCCACACAAATCTGTACAGTGCAGTGAGAGCTGATTATAGGAGTGATTCATTTCTCATAACTGACAGTTGGCTGATATGACACAAGAAGGTGCTCATGCAGCAGCTACCTAAAATAAAAGGATGCATTACTGGATGAATTGTTTTAAAACAGAGAATGTTTGATTTGTGTAACTTTTATATAAAATGCTTTATATTATCGTAAGAGTTTAATTTGGCTATGTTATGTTGATGGGGAAGTGGGTCTACTTCTCTGAGCTTGCGGATGGAGCGCAAGGGTGAGATGAGAGGNATTTGGCTATGTTATGTTGATGGGGAAGTGGGTCTACTTCTCTGAGCTTGCGGATGGAGCGCAAGGGTGAGA